TTAAAACACAATTTAATTTATTTTAAACATCTGAATTTATATTTATGCGCCATAATGATATTTCATGTAAATGGAATCAAGTGTCTCGACTTCGATAGATATACGGAAATGATTATAAAAACAGTTTAAAAAGACTGACGAGGAATTTACGACAAAGGCACTGTCAGTCATAAATGACTGCCACTGCAAAATCTTAAACTTTATTCATTCAGCCTTATATGATTGACAGCACAAAACTAAATACCCATAAAATAGAGGCCCTGCAGTCATAGTGTTAATTTAGTTTGACTAATTACATCAAATTAAACTTCAAAAATTTGCCTATTGACGAAGAATTCGTTTTACACATTTTAAGCTGAGATCTTAATAATATTAATTTTAACATACAAAGATAATGTGCCTTATCCAAAAGTATCCAGTGGACACACTAACACTGTCAAATCCTCCTTTTTATTGTTTCCTAAATAAATAGCTTACCTTGACACATAACAACTAATAACAATTCCAAATCTTTAAAAATTTTCTAATCCTCTTACCTAACACATTGTTCTCAAATATATTTTGTTACCTGGTAATAAATACTTCTTAGTTTAGTTCATTTGTCCTTTTGTTTTGAAAAGACCCAAAAAGAAAGTTATAAGCTGTTTACCTATAACGCCATTAGTAACGGTATTTTCAAATATAAATTGCAATGTCGAAATAAAATAAAATAATCTAGGAATATCACCGGGTTGCGAATAACAAAGTGGTGGTGACTTTTAAAAATATTATAATTTGTACTTACGCAAATGTGTAATAGTAGTATTTGATTTTTAAAATAAATAATTGCGGAATTTAGAAACGTGTTAAATTAATCGAAAACAAAATTCTCTGGAATTCAAGTTGAAATACACAATTTATTGTTTGTTGTACACAAAGACAGAGCTGCACAAACTTTTGTTTTTATCACATGACCAGCCCATCGAAGTCTCCGAATCTTCCGATCATGGTTGTACCTGGTTCTCCATATTCCCACAATAGAGTTATGTCGCGATAATTTTTGCATTTCGCTGTATCTTCTTTTTTATAGCTTGAACGTATAATATGTAGTGGGATATCACTTAGTGTATGATTATATCACGATAGAATGACACTACGGCTCAAATATGTTACAATGGAAGAGGAAAGAAGGGAAGAACCAGAACGAGATGGTTGAAAACTATGAATGATAATGGAGGAGAATGGCACACGAGAGATCTGAATGGAACAAACTAGCAAGAGGTGCAAAGACTCATTCAGGGTTATAAAGCCAAAAAAGAAGAAAAATAAAACCATAAAAAACAACGCAAGAAAAAGTTTATAGACTGCAGTTCTCCGAGATATCCAAAATAAATGTACAGGTACGTAAAGTAAGATGAAATTTTAAAGTGATAAAACAAGACCTATTTTTGATATAAATATGAAAGTTAAACGGAAACATAAACAATACTGTTTCGCTTTGGACTTGTTACATTTGAACCAATAGCTTCCTCCGAAGAATGATCATTTTACAGTTCTCTAAAATTACCTCAACTAAATGTGTCATTATCCTGAGGAAGCTGATGTATCCTGCCGATGGGTGCAGCGTTTGTTGACCGTTGACCAAAAACATGATTGTGTGACAATTTCTCAGTAGGGTTTGGACCTTCGAAGCGCAGTCCATTAAACTTTGACATCAATTAGTAACCGTTGATAAAACCTGGATTCACTACTACATACCAGACAACAGAATGAGTGCATGGCAGTGAACTGAAGATGGCCAAAATGCTCCAAAAGCGAACAAGATAAGATTGGCTCAATGAGTTTGAAAGGTCATGGCCACTGTGTTCTGCCGATGAGTGCCGCGTTTGCTGACCGTTGACCAAAAGCATGATTGTTTGACCCTTTCTCAGCAGTGTTTAGACCATCGAAGCGCAATCCATTGGACTTTTGGCATTAATCGGTAACCGTTGATGAAACTTGGACCAAACAACAGAATGAGTGCATGGCAGTGAACTAAAGCTGGCCAAAATGCTCCAAAAGCGGACAAGATAACATTGGCTCAATGGGTCTGAAACGCTCTAGCCACTGCATTTTGCGATTGCAAAGGCATCATTTTAATTGACCATCTTGAAAAAGGTATCCATATATGAATCATATTGACCATCTATCAATGGCCAATATTATTGTGCATTATTGTACAAATCGAAGTAAGAGATCGGTGGTAAACGGCCTCATTTGCAGAAAAAAAAGATTTCTTTCTTCAAGATAATGAATCGGCTTACAAAATCGTTATGACAATGACAAAAATTGATGAGTTTGGCTTCAAAATTTTTTTATCCGGTTTATTCTCTTGATTTGGCCCTATTTGATTATGTGTTCCCAAATCTTAAGAGATGGCTCATAAAGAAAAAATCAAAAGACTGATATTTTTTGTACACACTTATGACAAGTCGAAAGAAAATGCAAAAAAGTATTTTTGAAGTGTGTATATTTTAGGCAATTCCTAGCTGAGCGCTTTCGGCTTTACAAAGCCATCATCAGAGCTATGCTACAATAAAATGTTCTTATAAGTACTAATTGGTAAAGATTGTAATTTTTAACTTACGTCAATTTTTTAAAATACCACTACAAAGGAGAGATCTCATTTCCTTAAGTTTCACAATTATGATTTTTGTAGGAGTTGGAATTTTTAAAACATATAAAAAACATATAAAAGGTCGACACTGGACGTCACAAACACGTTAAAAAATTGAAAAATTTTTAGTCATGGTACGGGTTTAAGACCCGACCATCTATTGATGTGAGGACGTAGACTGAATAGAACTAGTGAAATCAAATGTCGGTCCTTTTAAACGATTTTTCAAAAGTGACAGGTGACAAATGTCATATATAGGAAATAGAGATTGTTTTTTTAAATTCTTACAAAATTATTTAGTAGTTTGGAATTATTACTAGTCATCAAAGACTTTCTAAAAATTAAGTTTTTAAAATTAAATTTTATGTGTTCATCACATCATACAGAGTGACATTAATTTGTAAATTCACTCAAGTCATTGCTCAAGGTCAATGTACACACTACAATTTGTTACATTGACCTTGAGCAATGACTTGAGTGAATTTACAAATTAATGTCACTCTGTATGATGTGATGAACACATAAAATTTAATTTTAAAAACTTAATTTTTAGAAAGTCTTTGATGACTAGTAGTAATTCCAAACTACTAAATAATTTTGTAAGAATTTAAAAAAACAATCTCTATTTCCTATATATGACATTTGTCACCTGTCACTTTTGAAAAATCGTTTAAAAGGACCGACATTTGATTTCACTAGTTCTATTCAGTCTACGTCCTCACATCAATAGATGGTCGGGTCTTAAACCCGTACCATGACTAAAAATTTTTCAATTTTTTAACGTGTTTGTGACGTCCAGTGTCGACCTTTTATATGTTTTTTATATGTTTTAAAATTCCAACTCCTACAAAATCATAATTGTGAAACTTAAGGAAATGAGATCTCTCCTTTGTAGTGGTATTTTAAAAATTGACGTAAGTTAAAAATTACAATCTTTACCAATTAGTACTTATTAGAACATTTTATTGTAGCATAGCTCTGATGATGGCTTTGTAAAGCCGAAAGCGCTCAGCTAGGAATTGCCTAAAATATACACACTTCAAAAATACTTTTTTGCATTTTCTTTCGACTCATAAAGAAAAAGTTTAACTCAAATAGAAGAGTTACTTGAATAAACAAAGGTTTATTTTACAGAGCTACTAGAATCGTATTATTCAGGCAACATTAAGAAGTTGTTAAATTGCTAGAATCGTTGTATTAAGCTTAACGAAAACTATGGAATTATTTCTATTTTCTATATTATATAGAAAAGAAGAAAGAAATAGAAAAAGAGTTGCTACAATGAAAAGGGTTAAAATTATACTACGATGAATTAAAGCGTTTAATAGAATAAAATACAAAAACACAGAATGGTTCAAAGTCCAAGGTGTAGTAGGAATCTTATGATCCGAAGAAAGTAAATAAGGCGAGAATATTCAGACATCTATAGCACAGTAATAGTTGTCCACTTTATAGTCATCCAATAAGTTTATTGATGTCTTGATTGTTAAAGTTGTATGCGTAATTACTTGTACATCAAACAATAACACTCGTGTATAGTATATAAAAATAATTTTTTGTGCAAAATCAAATACACTATAGACAAATATAGATATCCTTAGATTATCTCCTAGCATATTTTTCGGAATCTATTACTCACTATTCCCGGTAAACGAAACAATATAAATAGATAGGAATGATGGAGTAATACTTGCTCACTTTCGATAGAATCAAACTACTGTCTCCCAAACAGTACGTTAAACCAGCTTATATTTTCTTCCTACAAATTCCGTTGCACATCAATAATTGCAAGCGAGTGTCATATTTACAATCACTTATAATTTGCCAAAGTTGTAATAAAAGTGACCTGAAATCTATAATCTGGAACTTGAATGATTAAAATAGCTGTTCAATGATTGACAACGACACTTGTACGAAAAATCCTATATATTATTCTATATAACTTATGGTATATTTACATTTTGAAAAACTTTTACCAATTACAGGATTTGGATAATGGATTTCAAGAATCTACTAATTAAAAAATATCGAGTATACTTCTACAAACTCGACATCACAATAGCTAAGAAATAACTAGATTCTATCGAAAAGAGTCATTTACTTATAAAAGAAAAAGGTAGGGGATCTTTATCCTAATCCGGAAGTCTTATATTGTTGAGTAAACGTGCTTATTCATTATTTTAAGTCTATTTGAAAATTTAAGTGCTTTATGTACATTTATCAGATATTTTTAACTAACTATTAATCGATGAACGAACTGTTAAAAAATCAGTCAAATAAATACTATTTTCTAACTTGGGAAAAAAATCCCCTGCCTACATTAAAGCTAAACTACAAAATATTTACACTTATTATTTAATCCTGTCTACGAGCTAGCGTGGACTTTTCGTGGTGATGAAGGAGGTATTGACATATCCTGCGTCCTTACTCTAAGAGCATCTAAGGCATTAGGGGATAACTGGGAGGGACTGTGGATTTCAGGACTAGAACTCCTCGAGCGCTCTTCTGGCATATGTACATTACCTACAAGGTTAAGTGGTGGTACTCCCCCTCCTGCCAACATGTATTGTGACAGAAAAGCGTGAAATGTGGGCATATGTGTCTTGGGGGGCCAGTGAAGGCCTAACGCTGGGCTAAGGATTGGTGGGAACGGGACAGATGGCCAAAAGTGTTCATTGGAGACAGGTGGCATGCCAACTGGACCGTGGATTGCGAAATCTGGTAGTCCGGGTTGGTCTCCGGGATGCATAAACGATACTGCTTCCCTGCCCATAGCCTTTTCGCGCTTTCTCCATTTGGCGCGTCTATTTTGAAACCAGACCTGGAATAGAAACATTTTCGTTTATAACAAATTTTATGTTCTAGCGTTCTATAGTCATTTTATTTTACAGTTTCAAACTTTTTTTATTGCAACTTTATAATACAATAAAAAAGAAACCTTTTTTGGATTTTAAAGATAAAATACCAAAAATTATAATAAAAAAACAGTAAACGTTGTCCTTGATATTGGTAGTGTGTAACATCTATAAATTTCTGAAATGGATTGTTTCCTTATAATATTTTTCATTACTTTGTCATTACAAAAATATTTCTTTTAGGAATAGTATACTACCAATATGTTATAGATAAAATGGCTTCTCCTTCTTCATTTAGATATACAGCTTGCTCAATATTGAAAGTATTTATCACATTTCAAAACAACAATTACAACCATACAAACAGAAAAACTACAAGACAACATAAGAAATACATATAGAGAATACATGGATGACAGAGCCAATGGACATACGAAGATTTTACATAATTAAGTTAAATACACAGAAACCCAGAGACCCGTCCGGAAAAAAAATCAAGAAAGCGAAAGAAGTGTGGATGAACAGCAGATATAAGAAACTGGGAGATTTACTAAGCAAACATGACTACTGATGATGATGATGATGATAATGCATCATCATCATCATCATCATCATCATCATCATCATCATCATCATCATCATCATCATCATCATCATCATCATCATCATGATCATCATCATCATCATCATCATCATCATCATCATCCAGCCTCTATTTATCACGTCCACTGCTGGACATAGGCCTCCCTTAAACTCCTCCATTCCTCACGATTTTGTGCTCTTTGTTGCCAATTTTTAGTGATACGCCTGATGTCGTCGGCCCAACGTGTAGGTGGTCTTCCTCTACTGCGTTTGTCTGCTCTTGGCCTCCAATTTGTAATTTTGCTCGTCCATCGTGAATCGTGCATTCTCGCTACATGGCCTGCCCAGTTCCATTTTAGTTCCGCTATGCGTTCCACAACATCAGTAATACTCGTCCTTCTTCGCAGATCTTCGTTTCTTATTCGGTCCCTCAACGTCACTCCCAGCATAGACCGTTCCATTCGTCTCTGTGCCACTCTCAGTTTCGAAGCCGTGGTCTTGGTTAAAGTCATAGTTTCCGCCCCATAGGTCATGACCGGTAATACGCATTGGTCAAACACTTTTCTTTTGAGGCTGATTGGTATGTTGGCCCTAAGTGTGTCTCGCAGTTTTCCAAAGGCTGCCCATGTTAAAGTAATTCGTCTTTGGATCTCACATGTTTGGTTATCCCTGCTGATTCTTATTTCATGACCCAAATACGTATATTTCTCCACCAGTTCTACCACTTTGTCTTGAATAGTCAAATGGTTATTGGGGACCAAATTTGTCATAAACTTAGTTTTGGTCAAGTTCATTCTCAGGCCCACCTTCGAACATGCAAAATCCAATTCGTTTATCATATCTGTAGCTTCTCCTAAATTATCTGTGATAAGGACAATGTCATCTGCGAAACGGAGATGGTTAAGCTTTTCGCCGTCTATCGTTACTCCTCTGTGGTCCCAATTGATCATCTTAAAGGCATATTCTAATGTCGTTATGAATAATTTCGGCGACAATGTATCTCCTTGCCTTATTCCACGATTTATTTGTATTGGTCGGGTTTTATTGTCTATTTTAACAGTCACAGTGGCATTTTTGTAAATATTATAAATAAGCTCACTATACTTATGGTCAATCCTGCTGTCATTCATGGCTTCTATAAGGCTGTCTAATTCGATCGTGTCGAACGCTTTATGAAAATCTATGAAAGTGAGAACAAGAGGTTTGTTATATTCTATAGATTTTTCAATGAGTGTTTTTACTGTGTGGAGGTGATCATTGGTACCATAATTTGAGCGAAATCCTGCCTGCTCTCTCGGTTGGTAGAAATCTAATTTTTTCTCCAATCTTGATGTCACTACCCTAGTGAAGAGCTTGTATATGTGGTTCAACAGGCTAATAGGTCTATAATTTTCTAGGTCCGTTCTATCTCCTTTTTTATGCAAAAGGATGGTTGTAGCATTGTTCCACTCTTTGGGCACCTCTCTTTGCTGCAAACATAGATTGAATAGTTTCCTTAATTTATTTAATAGCATATCTCCTCCATTTACGATAGCTTCTATTACGATTCCATCCTCTCCTGGGGCTTTGTTATTTTTCATTTTTCTTAATGCTTGTCGAATCTCATCTAGCTTTATCTCTGGCATTAGTTCGGAACCTTGATTCTTGATCTTCTTTGAAATGGCTGTTTGTATTCCTGTTTTATCTTCTCGTCTACTTCTATATAAGTCCTCGTAAAACTCTTCGACGACCTGTATTAACTCGTCTCTACGTGATATTATTTCATTTTGCTTGTTTCTTAATTTATGAATTTCGCATTTCCCATTCGTTCGCTTTCTACGTAGAACTTTTAGGCTGTTATTTTCCTCTATAGTACGTTTAATATAATCGGTATTAAATTTCCTTAAATCTCTCCTAATTGCTTTCGAAACAGTTTTGTTCATTTTTCTTAAAGTGTTGCTATCTACATTCTTATCGCTTCTCATTTGTCTTCTTTGATCCAAGAGCGTTTCAGTATATGGACTTATTTTACTTTAATGCATACAAAACTATAAAATAAATTACAAATATATAAAAAAAACACTTCAACAAAAAAAGCCTCAGCTCTAGATGATATATATGTGGAAATGATAAAGTTTATGAAAACGTCTTTAGATCTTAATGCTATTACTGAACAAAATATATACCATCGGAATCTGCCCAGAAGACTAAGAACTTTTAATCGACTACGAAAAATCGTTTAATCAAGTAAAACATATAAAACTCATCGAAACCCAAACACAACATGGTATAGACAATAGCATTGGGCTCTTATTATAGATAATAACATGGGGAAAATCAATGTGGATTCAGAAAAGAACGCAGCACTGTAGATCAAACTTTCCTGCTACGTACAAACAGAAAGCTACGAATATGGGAAATCTACAGTGACCCTGATATTCGACCAAGCGTTTGTTAGACCAAAATGGAAAAAAATATATAAGGCACTACGTGAAATGGGAATCAGTAAAAAAGTAGTAAGAATGATAAAACTGACGCAAAAAAACAGAGAATAACGTTAAAAGAAATTGAATATCTGGGGCATATAATGAGAGGAAGCAGATACAGGATAATGCAGTTGATACTCAACGGAAAGATCGACGAAAGAAGAGGAATTGGTAGAAAGAAATACTCAGGGCTCCGAAACCTTCGTTAATGGACTGGCTTATCAGCAGACGAATTATTACATGCTGCGCAAGATCGAGAACGATATCGGCAAATCGTCATGGAAACTACCCACGCCTAAAACTTGGACACGTACTCTAAGAAGAAGAAGAAATTGAAAAGAACCAGCTAAGTTTGAAATCAGTGAGAAGGTGCAACAAGAGAACCCACTATAATCTCTGATGTTTAATATTCTTCTTGAAATTGTCATCAAAGAATCCGAAATTAACAGGACAGGACTTGTATATCAACGAAAGCATCTTACTTTCTTTACTTTATCGTGTCCGGACATGTCATTCATAAAATTTCGGCCCAGTATCGGGCTACGTCGGTTCCATCTTTCTTGGCGAGCCACAAATCTTCAAGGGTACATCGATGAGGACAGTTTCTGCATGTAAGAAGATGTTCCATATTCTGTGTTTCTCCACAGTCACAGTTCACATCGTCTTGGTCTATTTTTCCCCATTTTGCCATGTTTGATTTTACTGTAGCAACCCCCGTTCTTATCCTATTCAAGGTTTTCCACGTTTTAAAGTCTAGGGTCTGGCCGGTCCATTGAACCTGGGGAAGTGGAAAATACTTAGGCGGTTCATCCTGCACTGTTTAAGAAAGCTTTTCCTAGATTTTAGTCGCTTTCGTGGTGTTCGAGCTTTGTATAGGGCATGCCGATCGTCTGCGATCTGTTTAATTTTCTCTATGTGTTCTGCAGCGCCTCTGCGTGTTGAGGGTTCTGCAAATCCCGAAAAAACGAAAGCATCAATGCCTATGTTCGCTGATGATACAGTACTAATAGCCACGTAAGTAAACAAAAATTTAAAAAAATACTAAAAAGACTAGAGATGACAACGAGAAAGAAAGGAAAATACATAAATGAAGAAAAAAATAAATATATGAAATGGACATAACGAAAATACATAAACAGGGTAACAGGTGTCAGGGTAACACCTGACAATATATAAGACAGTGCTTATCGCTATAGCAACTATATATGCCAGTGAAATATGGACGATAGACAAATCCGACCAAGTAATGTTCAAAGTGTGGGAAAGAGAAGTAGGAAAGAAAAGTCTTTAAGAAAATATTTGGAGGAAAGCTATGAAATAAAATAAGGATAAAAATATTAAATATAGAACTGGAGAAGAAGTATGGAGAATTGAATATCGTAAGGATCATAAAATCACAAAGACGAAAATCATAAAGATGGTTAGGACATATCCAAAAGATGATAAACACGAGGTTTTCCAAAAGAGTACTAAAAAGGAGTGAAAGGAAATAAGAAAAAAACTTGGACTTAAAACCAGGTGCAAGGTGAAAAAGGCGTGCAAACTGGAAAGAATAGAAAATAATAGTAAACCAAGACCAGGCTACTGGTTTTCTAGGCCTAGATAGCTAAATTATTTATCTGTAATAAACAGATAGAACCCATAAAGATTCCAGTACGTGACCAACAATAAGAGATGCTGTATGTAATGAATGAATAAGTAGATGATGATATGGAACGTGAAGAAAAAGAAGGATGGGGACTGAGAGAGAACTAAACATTGGAAAAAAATAGAAAAACGAATTATCTAGAACATGTTTACAAAGAAGAAAAATACAACTTCCTACGACTCATTAGGAAGGTAATTGGAAGGAAATAGAGGTACTGGAAGAAGAAAATTCTGGTGGCTAAAGCATGTACTAGACTGGACAAGCTGGACAC